CATACTTGAGGACGTGTCACATTGATACTTTATAAAAACCTCAGAATTTTTGTTAGTTGGGGATTTGCACATTACAAAGTTTGTTTCCATTCTGATTTAGAATAAAACCCAAATATTGCAGTTATCTACTGTAGCGGTAAATTTAAAATAAATATTTTGAAGGAACATTACTTTCCTCTCCTCAATTTTATACTTCGATTCAGTTTCATGACCTGTCAGTAGCACATGTGCATAGCATGTGATCTAACATAGCTGAAATATTTAATTATTATAAATAGAATAAAGGCAGCTGCTAGTTACTACTGATCAAAATATTTTTTGTAGATCAGAATGCCTCTGTTTGTGTTGTAATGCAATAGTTTGACACAGATAAGCATATTGCAACAGTGACATATTACACCACAGACAGGAGACACTTTGATGTAGGAAAGAAAGTTTAGTCAGTAATAAGTAGCATTTGCCCATAGCTATTCGGATAATTCAGTTTTTGCCCTATAGTATCAAGTAGAAGCAGTATGTAAATACCAACAGGTTATAAAATACTGCAATATATCCTTTCCTCATTAAAGCAAAAATGCTCTCACATGTTTTTGTAGCATGTAATGTATTTTATCGGCAACTCAGAAAATAAATAAGACAAGTTCAGGAAAAACATCTTAGAAAATATTGCACATAGTAATTTGTTTTTAACTAGAAGCAGCTTAACACTTCTTTTGCTGTAGTTTTTTTCCTCTTTTTTCCCTCCTTTTTGAAAGGAGAAAAGGATTTACAAGTATTGACTGAAAGAACAGTGTTGAAGCTGTCTTCATGGCAGAGAAAGCAGGTAAGGAAGTCTGCCTAACTGTCTTGGAAGAAAATAAAATAAGAATTCCTTTTTAATGAGTTTACATTCTTTAGATCTCAAAGCACAAAAATAGCAAAAATTTTGTAAAGTTACACAGTTCCCAGACTATGAGGGCAGAAATACAGGAACCTACAGCAGGGTACCCCTATCTGGAAGGAAAAGCTGAGAAAAAACAAAGCCGTTTTAGACAGAAACAGAATGAGAGCTGACACTGAACACCTTTTCCTGAGACTGGGCTCAAGATAAAATGCAACGTAGATGGGTAATCTGGTAATTTATCTAAGTCCAGAAACCTCAGAGCTAGGTATCGAGTCTCTCTTACAGCAAGAAACACCCAAAAAGAACTAAGTGACCCTAGGTCTCCTTGCTGGAGAGCACCAAGCCAGCCTGCCAGTCAAACTGAGTTAGCACTTGCTCAATATGAGTAACTCAATATTGCAAGACTGAGGAACAGTCAGCTTCGGCTCCACTAACAATCCTTCAGCCTTTCTCTTGTTCCACACTTGGCAACACCCCCCAAAAAACTCAATCACATGCCATCTCAAGGCCAAGTGGATCATACTTTTAAAAAAATTACCTGCTTTGGTGACCTTGAAATAAACTCAATTTCCATGTCCTGCAGGACAAAGTCTGATCATATGTCAGATTCAGAGAAGGTATAAAGCGTCAACTACTACAAATAAGGGGATGGACTCTTCCTCTCTCACGTCTGAACTCCTCCACTGCCTCCACTGAACAATGCAGAGCATTAGGAACTTGCATCCCAAAATGCGAAGAAAATATCTCAGAACCCTTTCAATTTGGTCTTCACACCAGAACCATTTATGGCTAACCTTCCCATCCACATTCTAATCTAGAGCCCTTGTTCTCTATCCAAAATAATTATTTTTTGTTTCAAGTATCTGCTGGGAAGTGAGGGGGCACATATGCCAAGAGGGGATACATTCCAAACAAAGTTTCAAACTTCAGAAAAACCACCTGCAATATTTTACTAATGAATACAGACAGTACTTCTGAAAATACACATTTGCTGAAGACTTTGTTGCTAGCGGCAGGCTGAAACAGCTGTAGTGGCTTTGTAACACACATTGGAGGCTCCAAGAAATTTACAGCTTTTCTAGAATTAAATTTTTGTGCATTTTCAAAATCAGAGACTTTTGGTACTCTTTTCACCCCTTCTGTTTAAAAATTTGCATAGTAAATATAAAGCCAACTGATATGTAAGTGCTGTTAGTTAAAAATTGTTTGAGAAAACAAAGCTCCTTTACCAAAAGGTGAACAATTAAAAAAGTCATTTGAAAGCCATCTCATTATTTTCCATTGTCTGTTTGGTTTTTAAACCAGGATTTTTATGATTGCTTTGCTTTACTTTCTATCTACACAAGAAAAAGCTGCACAAAACCTAAGAGAGGATAGTAACAGATGCCAGAGGAAGGGAAGATTCAAAGGTGAAACACACCCAGTTTACTATGAAAGACAGACGAGGTACCACAAAGAGGAAGTAGCTCTGAGATTTGGTTAAGTTAATATGCTTCCAAAAAGAGCAGTTGAAATTTCACATAAGAGGCATTCTTGCCTATGAGGAACAGAAAAAAATCAAGCTGAAGTACACATTCAAAAAGCTTCAAGGTGAAAATAAATGAAAATGTGACAATGATTTAAGAAATAAGCAAAAGCAAGCAGAGTTGATCACTTACTTTCTCAAGGTGATTATGGACTAAGAAGTAACCCTCTACTTTAAGAGGAAGAGCCAGAGGAGAGTGGGATAAATAAGAAAAAAGCAAGTGAGTTTAGAAGACAAGATTAAGTGAAGTCTCAGGACAGTGCAGAAAAGGGCAGCAGCTGAAAACCTTCTGCATTTTTGGTAGAGGAAAAGCAGAGAGTTGGAGGTAGAGAGGAATAGTCAAGACCAATTTTCACAGAAAAGACAACAACGAAAATGCAGTAGGAAAGTTATTTGAGGAGTAGATCAACATCTGCAGAAAAATAGGCAGAGACAGAGAAATAACTAATAGTAAACAAGACTTCTCCAACAGTTACTGGACTGGAAGTTGGAAGAGAGCTAAGCAACAAGGCAGGAAGGCCAAAACACGTAAGCAGCACTAAGTGAGAAAATGAGATAGAAAGAGCACATCCAGTAAGTGACAGAAATCCTTGTTAGAGAAGAAGTAAAGCTATCAGTCCCACTGGTGAATGGAAAAGATCAACCCAAAGTTTACAATTAACACCCAACTCTTCGGTTTTACATTTTGAGCAGAAGGAAACAGTTCCTACTGCTTTCAAATGTCCATTTAACTAGTCAGTCTCCTACACAAACTGTTAACATACTAGAGATGAAACTATTAAGTTTGCTTTGGAACGGATATTTTTCTTGAAAAGCATTAAGATACTTAATGAATCCAAGAATTTAATTTCTATCTCATGCTAACCACCAACATTAAATAGCATGATGACACTCAGGTGCAGCTGTGGAGTATGCCACTTGCAATACTTACACAGAAGAGCTCAGCTGAGCATTGGAAACTATTCTCAATAGAATGACCCAACAGCACTAAAGAATTAAACACTTGTACCCATTATTATTTTATGTGCTAATATCCAGATTAAAAAATAATTTAAATGGTTATAAACAGACAATAATAATAGGGTTCATATAGACATAGTCTTTAAAAAAATCAGTCTCAATTTGTATATTTAAATATTGATTTAAAAAATTGAGTTTTAGCTAGATTATAATACATTTAATAAGATAGAATAAATACTGAAATCTACTTAATAGCAATTTAGATGTGGTTTTCTGTGTTTTCTTTTGTTTTGTTTAATTTTATGTTTCTTTAATACCAGCCGTATCAAATGTATATCCATCAGAAATCTCAATTTTGTTGAGCTTGTTTTTAGAAGTTTTGCGTTAACACTTTTTTTTGGAGGACTATGATCAGAACAGATATGAGACAGTATTTCTTGCCATATTAGACTGATGAATAATGGATAAAGACGCATGAAGGCTATAGCACAGCAAATCTCAAGACAACAGTGGACAGTACAGGTTAAAAAGAGCTGTGAGTACAGAACCCAGTTTGGTACGGTTGTAAAAAAAAAAACCTGTACCCAGAAAGATGGTGAAAAAGGCACAAGACCTAAGACCAAGAAAAATCATTTTTCCACATGTAATATACAAACGGAGAGGGGAGCAAATGAGGCAGTCATGACATCAGAAAAGTATGTCTATAAGCATTAGCATAGGAAGTGCCATACACAACTGAATTTCTTCTCTGTCAGTTCCAGTGTCCTGACTTCTTAGAGTTTGGGAATAATTTCTAGCTCAATACCTCCTTTGTATACGGCTTACTATTACCTTCAGTCTTCAAAGTCAGCATGTGAGCAAGAATGTGTACCTATTTTTAAACTTAACCAATCAAAGTTTAAGACAGAGGAGTATGCAGGTCAATCAGGAATTTTTATTCATTGAAATGTCACAACCTTTCACTATTCACTATCAGCTAAGTATTAGAAATAGTTTAATCTCCAATGCTACACCTAGTAGAACAAACACAGTTTAGTAGCATAAACAATCAAAATTTTCCCAGTACTTGACAACATCTAATAGCTTTTGGCTCCTTCTAACAATCTGAAATTCAAACTAAGTTTTTTTTAAAAGAAATCTGAAACAACTGTAGTGAGTAACTTGATACAGTAGTTGTTTCAGAACCCTGTATACTAGCTGATGATCCAAAAATAAGAGTAATAATAACTTTGAGTAAGATGTTGAACATAACAATTGGACTCCATTTGCACTACACATTTTATGAACTGAGTGACTGCAGCAGGAGACCCAACTGCGCAATTTGCTGATACACAAAACCACGTTTCAGAAATGTCAGTTAGATAATATTATGATTGTGCACTTATAATCAATGTATACACATTTCACCTTATCTTCCTACAGAAGAGATGATTATCTTAAGATGGGAAAAGAGAAATTTTATATAACTGACAACTCATTCAGTAGCAAAAAGTTTAGATCAATACTGAAAAGCTGATTTTTGTTTAAACACCAAGCAAGCATGGACATATGAATATTCCTAACCTGTAAAATGATTCCTCCACATTATATCAGCGAAACTCATTGGTGGGCCACTGGCAGGGTAGTGTTTACCTTTCAGAGGCTCATGATCAGTCCTTATCATATCCATTAAGGAATTTTCCAAAGAGTGCAAGTTAAAAGTGTCATAGGGCCTATTCCGGTCCTAGAAGAAGAAAAAAAAAAGAAAAGAAAAAAAAAAAAAAAGAAAGAAAGATAGTTACAGAAAAAATCATTTTCCAACACAGGCTCATTTCTTATTTTATAGAACTCGAGCACCCAATTCTACATTTCTTTGACAGAACTTTTTATATTACACTAAAAATTTTGATAAATATAAGCCTACAGTTGTTAAAATGATACTGCTGCTTTCACCAGTACAGCTAGACGGAGAGGCTTTTTAATACTTATCAAAATATATGTACACACATTAGTTAATTCTAAAAATTATCATTTAAATAAGAACTTAGAAATAAAGCAATATAAATGTTTACACTGTAGAAGTGAAACTGTTTCAGAGTTAAGAGATTTTTGTTTTACAGCTTCATCATCTGCCTCCTGTCACAGTGCTACCTTAACATTAGAGCAGATGCAAGCAATGCTCAAGATGCCAGCAGGCACATTTGTTCCAAAACATAACAAGTAATTCTTCAAATGTCTAACATGAATCTCATAGGTTTAAGGAATGTACACTAGATGCAAGACAAAACAAAAAGCAAGACAGGATATGCAATACTTTCAGACTAGGACACTCAAAACTGGAGCGAGGGTTGGTTTGCATTGTTTGAATCTCTCATTTTTAACTTGTCATAATTCAGCTTCTGTTTTTTTAAAGCAAGTAAAAGGAAAAAGAAAAAAAAAAACACTACAACCTTTAACAGCCCTACGAAAATAACGAGTTTAAAAATTCAGGACCAATCTTATGAAGGGAAAAAATATAACCATACCCATATATCTAGAGAACTGTACACAATGGGACAGCATAACTGAATGGTCTCCTTGTTGTAATACTGTTTCCAAAAAACATTAATTTTCTTATTGTCATAATTATCATAAAAAAGCAAAGCACAAGTATATAAAAGATAGCAATTTTTCTTTGTACACTATATTATGCTACAATTAATAAAGAGTGGTATAACATTCTACTGTGTAAACTGGAATTTCATTGTAATATGCCCCAAAACTTCCTGGAACAATGTTTTCCACATGCTGGTTATTACAAGGCAATTTTCTTGCTTAAAAGAATACAACTTAAGATCCTCAGACAAGCACCACCAGTATCCATAGAAGATATAACACAAGTTTTGTCTTAATAAGTATCATTCCTCTTGAACCTTCTTTTTCTTAGGTTGTCTTTAAATAAAACTAAGGGAGAGAATGAGTTCACTGATATAATTAATTCTTTCAATATTCCTGTTCTGGAATTCAAATAAATACATGTTATTAAAAGTTTGCTGTTACAGAGACTCTGAAATACAGATCTTCCTCCTGACAAAAATCTCATGTTCCCACAGTCTGCCTACTCTACAGTGAAAATCCAACTTCCGTTCTCCAACATGCTAGTTTTGTATTTTCTATAAGAGGACTAGCATTATTTTCTTCACACATGTATTTCATCTATCAAGCATTTTTTGGCAGTCAAACATGATGTCCAAAGAATAATACTTGAATTCTGTTAGAAGCTGTACTAAGCAGTAAAGTTCAAATGAGCTCACTGATTTCCAGTTTTCATTGTTGATGATTTTTATGTCTTTCACAGCTGCTCAGAATGCCAACATTTGTATACTGTATTTAAAAGAGTACTTGTCCACTTATCCAAGTGGATCAACACATATGGAATATAAAGAAAGTGTATGTCCAGGAAATCTAAAACAGATCTTCTGAAAACCAAACCAAAACAAACAAAAAAAACCCTCACCAAACAAACCAACCAAAACAAACAAACCAAAACAAAATGAAAACAAACAAATCAACCAACCCAACAAACCAAAAACCCAAAACCCTGAGGTATATTTTTTTCTGTAGCAGAAAACTTTATTTTAGTTAAAACAATCCACTGCTTGGTAATATGTAGTAGGAGAGAAGAGTTTGGTTTATTTCATACTCACTCGCTTAAAAGAAATGCAAGACTAGATTGAAAAGAAAAAGTGTAACTTGCATATATTAAGAAAATTCCATTCTTGTAATACATTAGCAATTTGATTAAATAGGACTCCCTCAAAGCAAGAATTTTAGTGGCCTTTTTCTATTTGTTTCTTTTAAATACCATTTAAATATCTGTACTGTGAATATATAAGGAGGTCAGGTGTTAACAGTACTGAACTATGGCATCTTTTTGAAGAGAAAATATGAAAGCAAACATACAGTTTACATCATAAATAGAAGTGGGGAAGTATTTTTCAGTCAGATCAGTCCCCTGATCTGGTTTACTATACAGCTATAACAGAACTGAGCTGGCAAAACCAACACTGGCAGTAGAATGAAAGGGCAGGACTGCTGCTTTTTGCCACACTGATCATTTATTCCAGCTTTAAGCATTCCTCAGATTAGAGTCTTAGAGGCCAGAAGAAGTGAGTTCACCAGAGGACACAGCCTACAAATTGAATTTAATTGTCCTTTATTAACATGTGTATGTTATATTTTAAGTATGCTACTATAGCAGCAAGTCCCTGGGAGGTCGTACTTTGTTCTAAAACTTCCCTAGGAGCTATGCATGTGGACACATGAAAAAAGGGGAGAGTATAGCAAGGCTACACAGGGCAGGTGTGCTAGAATGTAGGATCCTTCTAACCTTTTAAGGGGCGTACAAACCTGCAATTTTGTACTGTGGGGCGATCAAATGAACGAGGTAGCTCTGATACTTAGCTACATAGGGCTACTATGATTTTTCTTAGTAGCTTTCATTTCAGTAGTAACTCATTGGTACTCAGCAGATTTGAAGATTGTTTCTGAAATTCAGCAATTGCTTCCAAGAAGCCTGGTGCTTTTGCACACACACGTACAGGATGATCTTTCATTATTTCTCAGCATGAACAGGTTCTCCTGGTTTTGTGAACTGATACTGTTCCATCTCCTGGATTTGCCTTTTGCATTGTTTCCACAGGCTACTGATCTACTGCCAAACAATCCCAACAATGGAAACAATTCATAAAGGTTCTTAGTATCACATGAGAACTTTCAAAAGTAGTTCTGGGACTAGACCCATGAATGGAAAACAAAATATAAACGACAGAATGATAAAGAAGAATAAACTTGGAAAGGCAGTTCGAAAATCCATTAAATCTGGAAAATCTCCTGGGACCTTCTAGAGAAGACAAAGATTCTAAGACCTCCATAGACAAACTACATTATGGATAAAAGAAAAATCTGCAGCTACAAGATACTGCCCTTGGCTACACAGCAATCATTAAGCTAGCAAAAGATTTAAGTCCGGCCTGCCCAGGTTGGATTGTACTTTTGCTGTGCACAGACAGCAGCTCCTTCCTTGTTAGGTGCTAGTGTATACGGCAGCATATTTCAGTTCTTACAATACTCTAGTCTTGAAAGAAAGAAAAACAGCATAGCAATAACAAATCTTAGAGAAGATATGGGTCACAGAACTTTAAAGCCCAGCCCCTGGCTGCTATTTTTATGGTCAACCATGACACAGACTTCCTCAAAGTGTGTATGTTAAGCTTAGTGAAAAATTACAAATGCATATGCAGGATCAGATTTTTGAAGGATCACAAAGTGAAATGGACCTCCAGTTGAAGCTGGGTCTCAGTTTTCTACTTTTAAATATCTTACTTGTAAGGCTGACTAAAAATATCACAAAATACAGTGTCTATAGTCTGTCTGTTAATCAAAAAAAAAAACAAACCTGAACAGTAACTTTGCCAAAAAATAACTGCAGAGTCAAGACACTAAAATGAGAAAACACAATGATTTGTATTTTACACTTTTGTGCACATGTATTATGCTAGTCTTTAATTACATAATCTTAACAACTTTTCAGAGGTCTCCCGTCACCATCCAATACACACATAACCAACCAGCTCCAGGAACGAATCAAAACAGTGGTTTGAAGAGGTCTGTTTATCTCTAGGACAGATGCCTGTGTTGCTTATTCCAGGACATGGTGGAGGCGTAATCAATGTGTCAGCAAATTCCAGAAGGGGAAAAGTCACTATTAAAGTTAAGGATTATCTTAATTATGAAACACAGATTACTTAGCAGTACCTGAAGTACGTAATTGACATGTATGTGTATCATTTAAAATCAAAATAACTTCTTCCCTTTGTCATACCCGGTAATGTGGTGTGCTTTGTCCTGCCCCCTTCAGACTCAGAGCATGGGCATGTAAGGGTAAGGCATACCTAAGCAGTACTTCAGTTCCCTCCCAACAGATAAACAAATGGTATCTTTACTGGTAAGAGGGAAAGGTAACGATTGAGAAAAGAATATATGACTACATTATAGATGACAAAGCCAAGACCAGATCTATAGCTGGGGACATAACAGGTGTCAAGTGGACCTTCATGCAGCCTGGCCTCCTTACGACCTCTGTCAGGTTGAACAGGTAGCCCACAGTAATTGGAACTAATTAACTGAAAAAGGAAACAACCAACATATCCCATGGCACAGACACGGAGAACATGCACCTTGCTCCAGAAACCAAAGATATACCTTCTTCTTCTGTATCTGCAGAGGATTATGGCAGTGGAGATACTTCATGATTAACCAACTAAACGACAATGAAAAGTTTTACCCTGAGAAGGCATGTAAGAATTTAACATTGCCCAAGCCTAGCTATCGTCCATATTCAAAATCCTTAACCAAACATTTATGCAAAACCTCAGCTTCCTAGACCCTTCCAAAGATGCATTTCCCTGTGTCTATATATTTCAGTCCATCTGCTGACTGCCTATTAAGCTTCCAAGCTTTCTACATTCTGAACAATATATCAGTTTCAGTAATTTATCTCAGTGTTCTACATTTTCATGCTGCCCTAGATTTTCAAGCTTCCTGCACCAGTACATGGCACAACGCAGCTCAACTCAGCAGCCCAGCTGATGGCCTCCACTCACTGAACTCTGTTCCAGGAGAACACCAAACTCCAGTGAGGCTCACAGAAATGTCAACATTTTTTACTTACTAGATTCTGGAACATTACATGTAGTATTTCGA